TGAGAGTGAGTGTGTGTGAGAGTGAGTGTGTGTGTAAGAATGAGTAAGTGTGTGAGAGTGAGTGTGTGTGTGGGAGTGAGTGAGTGAGTGAGTGTGTGTGTGCATGTGAGTGTTTAATATTTCTTACATAAGATACTAAAAAATTTACATACTTAATAACTGGCACTTTCCCTTTTCCTTGTTAAAATCAAAAGTACATGGGCCCACACATTAATATCACACACAGTGGAGTGATAAAAATTATCTAAAGCAGTGGTTCTTAACCTATATACTGCCATGACCCCTTTTGTAATGTGTCCTTTTACATGCCCCCCTTGTATCTTTGAATAAAATTCCCTCACAAATATTAAAGAAAATCAAAGTTCATGCAAATATAATTTTAGAACATCCAATCTTTGCTTATTTTTGCACTTTAAAATTTCCCAATACCACAGTTTACAGGTTAATTAACATCCTACTTTTAACATTTTTGTCATGATGCAATGAGTCAATATGCAGGGTGCCAAGTATTAATTGCCACTTGTAGTCAAACCTGCTATATGCTGTTTATGTTAAACAGGTGTCTGCTTATTTGTCCCTGACTGTGATACTGCCCCTAATGAAACTTCAAAGTCACTTTTAGTATCCTTTACAGAGGATCATATAGACATCATAGACTGAGGAAAATATACTTCCCATATTTCTAATTTTTCACTTGGGGAGTATGCACATTCAGCGACTGCACATAGCTCCCGGCACTCCATTTGTTATGGTATGGATAAAAGCTGTTCTCACAGAACTAAAAATCTCTCTATTGGTACCTAGTATATAGAATACAAATTATTTTTTTGTTTGTTTGTTTGTTATATAGTCTAATCCTCCAAAGTCCTCAAACAAAATGCTGTTCAAAGTGATATCAGTTCATATTCAGAGAACTAAGGTGCCATCTCCATTCCATCATCTTCCTGCCTGTAGGGAATAATTTAATAAACAAAAATTACTTAATATGCTATATACAATTCTTTATACCATAAAATGAATTTATGATATTATGAAAATATCATAAAAGGAATAACAAAAGTTTATTATCACTATTTTACGTATGTTATAAGCATTTGGTAAATTTCAAAATATTCTGTTCTGTAATAATGTACACTGGTGGTATTTAAGAGAGCCCAAGTTGTATCTTCTAACTGCAGAGGAAGTTGGAGTTCCTCCAATTACTCTGAATATGCAGAAGATGAATGACTGGTGTCCCTCATGGTATCAACCAAACAGGAACAAGAGAGCACTGGACATGAATATCCAAGTGCTCTAAGAACTGGTTTTGCACTCCCCAGATTAAAAGGGGAAAGCAGTGATCTGGCCTGGATAGGGCATTCTTTCTCACTTTCCAATTCTGTTGTTGTTGTTGTTATTGCAATTCCAATTATAAACAATACATGATGAATTATAGTGTAAAGAGATTGCACTGCGTGTGAAAAACAACAAGTAGAAGGATGATAATATATAACTATTTAATCAGAGATCATGATGGAGCAATAGTGGAATTGACATTGTTTCAACCTACTGTTGCTGGGAAAATGTTGTGTTCACTGTAGTATTGTTTTGTAAAATGTCTCTACACTTAGATGACTCCACAAGTGCTTAACCACAAAGGAGTCAATTAGTAGACCTTGTAACCTCACCTGATTTTACCTTTCCTTGAGTTTGCATGAAAACCCTTTTTTCTTCTAATGCTTCCAATATTGATGTTGTTGTTTTATTAATGCTATCAATATTGATGCTTTTGTTATCATTATAGACATTATAAATGTTATAGTGTTACTGGCATTACTGACAGCAATATATTTTACCAGAAAATATGACTGAAAATCAAGAAAGAAAGTAAGTAAGATAGGCTTCATTGTTGATTTAGTACTTTTGGAGCTATCTATGTTGTAAAGACAGTAGATAAACTAAACTTACAGCCAGCATGGAATGTACAGTTCCCCACATTTCCAGCTGGTACACCACGAGTCTGGAGGAAGCAAATTTTATCTGGTAATACTTGTTTTCCTCACCCTGAGTGGTGAGGTTGGCCTCTAATGGTGACTGTGATTGGTTGAAATAATTCTACATAATATCTACAACAAAAAAGAATTCTAATTGAGGAAATAATATCAAAATGTTAAGAACACATATTGACTTTTATCTGCAAAAGGTGTCTGAAAAAAAGAACAACAATAGCTCATAGATTTGACAGCTACACCTAAGCAATACTTGTAGCCTACACTGCAATGTGTGAAATATTTTGAGTAAGTAAAACTATTCATTGATGTGTAGGTTCTTATGTTTAGAATAAAAAAGTCAATAGAACTTGTGAGAGGTACAAACTGCCTCAGAGTTTGTTTTCACACATACAAACATATGTATATTTATGTGTATATATGTGTGCATGTTTATATATATATTTATATGCATATATACATGTATGTATATATATGAACATATATAAGTATATATGCATGTGTACCTATAAATATATATATATATATATACATATGAATGTATATAAATATATATGAATGTGTACCTATAAATATATATATATACATATGAATGTATATGCATATATTTATATATGTACAGTAAGTCCCCTACTTACGAACATTCTACTTAAGAACATTCAATACATAACAAATTTTAAAAAATACTTAAATCCAAAAAATTGTTTGCCGTGCTCACTTGGCTGTGCGCATCACTCGCCTCAGTCGCCTGCCCTCCCACCATAAACGCGAAAGCATCTGTTCACTGTGTTCACATGTACCGCCAATTTTTGTGCCATAATTTGCTTTACCTGTGCATCAATCCATCAAAAATAATTATTGGGATTTATGTACAGGTATTCTTAATCTAAACAAAACTTTAAAACAATGGGAAAAAAGGCAATTGAAACCCGATTTTGGATATATAAACAAATGGAGTTACAAACAGCCTCTCGGTCCCCATTATGTTCGTAAGTTGGGGACTTTCTGTATATGCTACATATATATATATATATATATATATATATATATATATATATATATATATATATATATATATATATATATATGTAGGGTGGGTTCTTCATGCTCTGGGTGATGTGAAGCAATGGTGTAGTAGCCTTGATAGTGTTAAATGCTTGTATGCCTTCTCGCTTGCAGTTGCCACTGCTGGCTAGCCTAGTGCGAAAAAGGGAGTAGCTCTGCATAAGCTTCCAATGCCAGTTCACAGCCTCTCTGTCACTGAGACTTCTGCAGTGCTTCCACGTGGCCACCCATGGAAACTGGGCACTTTGCGGTCCCAGGCTAAACTGTGGGGGGTCTCGGAGCAGCAGGAGACCCCAGAGGTACAGAGCCATACCACACCAGCGTGTAGACACGATCTGACTCTGTATCAACTCCTGCCCCTCAGGACCATGGGGTTGATAGGTGGTTTGGGGGAGATGGGCATTGCCAGCCATCCTCCCCTCTAGATAACTTACCGGCATCTTTAATAAATGGATGTGGTGTCCCTCCCGTCCAGCAAGTGAGGCGGGTTGTAGGTCCTGTTGAGAGGACAAATGTTAGGGCACAGGATAGGAACGAGAGTTACTCATCCTGCCTGTGCCTCTGCAGGTACCAACCCAGCATGAGGCCTGTGAGGCAAAGCCCAAATACTGCCAACCTCCTTTATTTAAGACAGTGTTGTTAAGGGTAGCAGAGAGTGGTGTCCATCCAGAGTGACTGCCTGAGGCTTAACCGCAGGCAAGCTATCCGGGTAAACACTTGGAACATCCGGTCCTTGTGGCAGGACGAGCGGTTACCTCTGCTATCGAGGGAATTGGAGCTGTTGGGAGTTGTGGTGACTTCCCTCTCAGAGATGAGAAAACCTGGCAGTGGCACAATCAGTATGGGTGAGTACACCTACTACTGGTTGGACCATGGTGATGGTCATCATCTTCAGGGAGCCTTTGCCATCTCCAGCTGACTTCAACCCTCAGTAGAGGTAACATCGGTTGATGAGCGTATCATGGCATTGAGACTGAAGCATGCTTTTGGCTTTGTGTCTCTTATTGCTGTGTACGTTCCTACCAATGTTTGCAAACTCAATGTGAATTGTACGCCAATCTTTTGCATTGTTCTGGGAGACTTCAGTGCGATATCCGGCTGTGATCAAGTTGGCTACGAGGTGTGTCTTGGCCCCTGGCTTGGGAGCTGATTCTAGCAGAGAGAACACTCTCCTTCTGTGGAACATTGCTAGGTCCAAGATATTGAGGATTTCTGGCTCCTGGTATCAGCGCTCAAACAAGGTACATGATACAGTGATATAGGTATTGTGGCAAAGAAGATTGACCACATTCTTGTCAGCACTTGTTGATGGTAAAGAATTGCAGGGTTTACTGGAGTGTCGAGTTCTGTGGTACTGACCATATGCTGGTAGTGGTACCCTACGGGTGTTTCACTTTGACAGACTGAGGGAGGAGGAGTGTTCTTGTGGGTTTGCCATTGCAGTCTCTGATCGATTCACAAAATTTGAAAACATGACAGACTCAGTTGCTTTGTGGGAGTTCTTCAAGCACAAAACACTTGAAGCAGCGCAGGCGTCTAATGACGTATGCCTGAGGGCAAGGCAGAATTTCATCTGCCTGGCGACATTGGACGCCAATGAAGCGTGTCACTTGGCTCAAATGAATGGCAATCAGGACTTGCATTGCTCCTTGGTGCGTAGGGCTTGGACACTACTGCGAAGGGACAAGGAATAGTTCATCAGGAATCTTGATGAGGAGGCTGAAGGCATTTTTTGATAAATGAATTTCACCCTGTCTACCAAGCCCTGAGAAAGCTGAACTCTGAGCCCTCCTCGCAGATGACTGCAGTACGTGGATGGAAAGATAATCTCAGATCATGTATTTTGAGCAGCTGTACCAAGTAGAGTCTCCAACAGTTAGCTTGGATGCAAGTGGTATCACCCACCCATCAGTGAGGAACCTCCTACCCTAACTGAGGTTTGGATGGTGATTTCTAAGCTGAAGAGTGGGAAATCTGCAGGCATATGTGATATCCCTGCTGATCTGCTAAAGGCTGGGAGTGAACCTATGGCACAGGGCTTGTATGCAGTCTTGACTGCCATCTGATAGTCTGGTTCCATTCCCCCTGACCTATTGAGGGGTCATCCCTTAATAGAAGGGAAAAGGGGATTGCCCACATTCTTCCAAAACTGTTCTGCAACCACCTACTAAGGCACCAGAGACTAATGCAGTCTGGATTCACTCCTGGCAAGTCCATAATTGAGAATCGTTATGGAAGATTCTGAGTCTTAGGGGACTTTCTAATTGGCCTAATAGCAAGCCTATATACTGGTACTGAAAGTGATGTAAAGTGTGGTGGGGGCCTGTCAAACTTCTTCCCTGTTAATTCAAGGGTGAGGCAAGGATGTGTCCTTGCACCAACACTTTTCAACACCTGCATAGACTGGATAATGGGCAAAGCTACTATCCAAAGGCTGTGTGGAGCAACACTGGGCAATATCATGGTCTCAGACCTTGACTTTGCCAATGATGTTGTTATCCTATCTGAGTCTCTGGAGTCACTGGTGGTGGCTCTTGATGCATTTGGCAATGAGGCAAAGTCCTTGGGTTTAGAGGTCTCCTGGACCAAGACCAAGATTTAGGACTCAGGGGGTCTGTTAGGAGAACCCATTCAGTCGATCCATGCTTGCGGTGAAGAGTTTGAAATCTCAATCAATAAGAGAATTTGGAGATGTTGGTACCTATGCAAAGGACCAAGCTATGTGTCTTCAATGCCTTGATACTGTCAGTTTTGCTCTATGGAAGCAAATCTTGAACACGATCTAGTGTCTTGGAGTCTCAACTTGATGCCTTTTGTCACAAGTTGATTCACCAGTTCATGGGGTACAGTCGGCAGGACCATGTGTCCAACCGATGGCTACACAGTGAGAAATGC